CTACGACCCCTTGAGACTTTGCCGATCGAAGGCCTCGTTCGTATCTGGGCACACGAGGCACTCCGCCTGTTCCAGGATCGTCTTATCGCAGAGGAAGAGAGGCAATGGACTGAAGAGTGCGTCCACCGTATTGCGGCTGAACACTTCCCTACCATCGACGAAGAAAAGGCTCTTGGTGGCCCCATCCTTTTCTCCAACTGGCTGTCCAAGAACTACGTGCCGGTTGAGCGTGAGCAGCTTCGCGAGTTCGTCAAGGCTCGTCTCCGTACCTTCTGCGAAGAAGAAGTGGATGTGCCACTCATCCTGTTCAACGACGTGCTCGAGCACGTACTTCGCATCGATCGCGTCTTCCGTCAACCACAGGGCCATCTCATCCTCATCGGTGTCAGTGGATCTGGAAAGACAACCCTGTCTCGCTTCGTGGCCTGGATGAACGGTCTGAGCGTCTACCAAATCAAGGTCCACGGAAAGTACTCAGGCGAAGACTTTGACGAAGACTTGCGTACCGTGCTTCGACGATGCGGTTGCAAGGGCGAAAAGATCTGCTTCATCATGGACGAAGCCAATGTTCTTGACTCCGGTTTCCTCGAGCGCATGAATACCCTCCTGGCCAACGCGGAGGTTCCTGGTCTGTTCGAAGGTGATGAGTACGCTTCCTTGCTTACTGCCATCAAGGAGGGTGCGCAGCGACAAGGCATCATTCTCGACTCACAGGAAGAGCTATACAAGTGGTTCACGGAGCAAATTGTCAAGAACCTTCATGTTGTGTTCACCATGAACCCACCCGAAGAGGGTCTTTCGTCGAAGGCAGCCACCAGTCCTGCTCTTTTCAACCGTTGCGTGCTCAACTGGTTCGGAGACTGGTCAGACCAGGCTCTTTACCAAGTCAGCTCAGAGCTCACACAATCTGTTGATCTCGACCGCGCCAACTACGTTGCACCGGATAGCATTCCCGTTGCTTACCGCGGACTCACCCTTCCGCCTTCCCACCGCGAAAGTGTGGTCAATGCCATGGTCGCTGTACACCACTCGCTACGCAGCAAGAACGCGAAGTTACAGAAGACACAGAACCGGAAGATGTACCTTACCCCACGTCACTTCTTGGACTTCGTTGCGCAGTACGTCTCGCTTTACAACGAAAAGCGCGAAGATCTCGAGGAACAGCAGCGTCATCTCAATGTCGGCCTTGAGAAGCTGCGCGAGACATTCGACAAGGTCAAGGAACTGCGAGCAAGCCTTGCACAGAAGCAGACGCAACTCACTAAGAAGGATGCAGAAGCGAACGAAAAGCTGCAACGTATGATTGCGGACCAGAACGAGGCGGAACAGAAGAAGGCTGGATCGATCAAGATGCAAGCTCAGCTTGCGAAGGACAAGGAGGAGATTCAGAAGCGCCAAGAGGTGGTGGAACACGATTTGGCGGCTGCCGAGCCAGCTGTGGCGGAGGCACAGAAGAGTGTGCAGAACATCAAGCGACAACATCTTACTGAAGTCCGATCCATGCAGAATCCTCCTGCTGGTGTCAAGCTCGCTTTGGAAGCTGTCTGCACGATCCTTGGACATAAGCCCGACAGCTGGAAGACCATTGTTTCCATCGTCAGGCGTGACGACTTCATCGCCAGTATCGTACAGTTCGACAACGAGAGGCAGATGACTGCAGGCCACCGCAGGAAGATGCAAAAGGAATACCTTTCCCAAGAAGATTTCACCTTCGAGAAGGTCAACCGCGCTTCTAAAGCTTGCGGTCCCCTCGTACAATGGGTGTCTGCTCAAGTTACTTACTCCGACATCCTTGACCGCGTCGGTCCCCTACGTGCCGAAGTCGAGAACCTGCAAGTTGAGCTTCAGAAGACAGAAGAGGGCGCCAAGGAAACCCAGGTCCTCATTCAGAACCTCGAGGAGAGCATTGGCCGATACAAGACTGAGTACGCGGCTTTGATCAGTGAAACTCAGGCTATCAAGACGGAGATGGCGACTGTTCAGTTCAAGGTCGACCGCAGTGTCCGCCTTCTCGACAGCTTGTCCTCTGAACGCGTTCGATGGGAGGAAAGCAGCAAGTCTTTCGATTCTCAGATCGACACCATCGTTGGTGACGTCTTGGTTGCAGCTGCGTTCATCGCTTATGCCGGTTACTACGACCAGCAGTACAGGAAAGCGCTTACAGAGGACTGGTACGATCACCTCAAACACTCCGGAATCAGCTTCAAGCCAACAAATCCATTCACGGAGTATCTCTCGACTGCCGATGACCGCCTGAACTGGCAACACAATGGTCTGCCGGTCGACGACCTGTGCACCGAGAACGCCATCATCCTGCAGAGGTTCAACCGCTACCCTCTTATCATCGATCCTTCTGGCAGAACAACAGAGTTCTTGCAGAACGAATGCAAGGACCGCCGTCTCACGGTGACTAGCTTCTTGGATGATTCATTCACCAAGCAACTTGAGAGTTCCCTGCGTTTCGGTAACCCAATCTTGATCCAGGATGCCGAACATCTGGATCCCATCCTTAACCACGTTCTCAACAAGGAGTACCAGAAGACTGGAGGTCGTGTGCTCATTCAGCTCGGCAAGCAGGAGATCGACTTTTCGCCGTCTTTCCGCCTCTACCTCTCAACACGCGATCCTTCCGCCAACTTCGCTCCTGACATCTGCAGTCGTACCACGTTCGTCAACTTTACTGTCACGCAGAGCAGCTTGCAGACACAGACACTGAACGAAGTCCTCAAGTCCGAGCGACCTGATGTTGATGAGCGCCGATCCAACCTCATCAAGATGCAGGGAGAGTTCGCAGTCCATCTTCGTCAGCTTGAGAAGCGACTGCTTCAAGCTCTCAACGAGTCGCGCGGTAACATTCTGGACGACGACCGCGTCATCGAAACGCTCGAGACGCTCAAGAAGGAGGCCAAGGAAATTTCGGACAAGGTCTCCGAGACCGCTGGCGTTATGACAGAGGTCGAGAACATCACAAAGGAGTACACTGTTGTCGCTCGTTCTTGCTCAGCTATCTTCGCTGTGTTGGAGCAACTGCACCATCTCAACCACTTTTACCAGTTCTCGCTCCAGTACTTTACTCAGATCTTTGAGACTGTACTGCGCAAGATTCGCAACTCCAACATCACTGGTCATGCTGCCCGTATTGAGCAGATCGTTACCGAGCTATTCGTTGACGCATACCGCCGCACTTCGCTCTCCTTGCTCCAGAAGGACCGTGTTACGTTTGCTATGCTGCTCGTGCAAGCGGCGCCCTACAAGATGGACAAGGCACACATCGATCAGATCCTTGACCCCGACCTGAAGGGTATCGATGTGTCAACCGAGACAGAGCGCAAAGAGGAGGCCATGGAGCGTGCCAGCAAGATCCCGATGTTTAAGGAAGAGCTGCCGAAGATTGAAGACAGCGCTTGGGATGCTTTCCTCAATGAAGAGATGGGAGAGCGACATGTACCGCAGGCTTGGCCAGAAGATCTTACCAAGTTCGACAAGCTACTACGAGCTCTCGTCTTGGTCAAGCTATTCCGTGTTGATCGCTTCGTACCAGCTGTCGAGCGCTTTGTCACTGAGGTGTTCGGCAAGGGCATCCTAGATGCCAGCGGTGATCTGGGCGATATTGTGAAGCAAGTCAATGCAGTAACCCCGGTGGCTCTCAGCTCCAGTCCTGGATTCGACGCAAGTTACAAGGTCGACAATCTTGTAGAGAGGGAGCAAGTCAGCTGCACAAACATTGCCATGGGTTCCAACGAAGGCGCCGCATCAGCCGACAAAGCCATCGCTAACGCCGCCACTACAGGCAACTGGGTACTTGTCAAGAACGTCCATCTCGCTCCACAATGGTTGCAATCGCTTGAGAAGCGTCTTGAAGCTCTCAAGCCCAACCCCGACTTCCGTCTCTTCCTGTCAATGGAGTCCAGCCCCAAGATTCCGGTCAACCTACTTCGCGCTTCTCGCGTCCTATCCTACGAGCAGCCTGCTGGAGTCCGTGCCAACATGAAAGACTCGCTCTCTTCGTTGGCCGAGAAGGCCACCAAGCCGCCGGTGGAGAAGGCACGTGTCTACCTCCTCTTATCCTTCCTCCACGCAGTCATTCAAGAGCGTCTTCGCTACGCGCCAACTCTAGGATGGAAGGGCTTCTGGGAGTTCAATGACAGTGACTACGAATGCTGCAGCTTCATCATCGACACATGGGTCGACACCGTCGCACAAGGCCGATCTAACATCGCCCCTACCAAGATCCCATGGGAGATGCTCCGTTACCTGATCACTGAGATGTACGGTGGGAAGATCGACGACGCAGAAGACTGGCGCATTCTCGCTTCTCTCGTCGATGCCACTATGACGCCCGCCGCTTTTGAGGACAACTTCAAGATCGTCAAGGATACTGAGCACAGCGAGGGTCTTGAACTACCCACTTCGACTAGCTGGAAGGACTTCATGGGCTGGGTCAATGACCTTCCCGAGCGCGAGCCGCCTACTTACCTCGGCTTGCCTGCAAATGCCGAGAAGCTGCTGCTGGTCGGTCAGGCCAATGCCATGGTTGGTGGTTTGAAGAGGGTGCTGGATATGCTGGATGAGGGCGAGCAGGTCATGGCTGAGGCGGAGACTGAGGTCGAGGGTTAGTGGTCTTACAATTTGTATTAGGCGTACTCTAGATGAGTGTCGCGATTTCTCTTTGTTTGTAGTTTTATTCGTTAGCTGGGGTTATAAGGCGTTTCAATTTGGGTTTCCGTGGTTCAAGGGGCCGTTCGCTAGTTTACTGGTATACCCATAAATCTCATTGTTCAGAGTCTACTTGAAGCAAAAGCCCGTGTGAGTCCTAGATGTTGCTAATTGATAGGTACATGTAGTCTCCACATCATCTCTGCTTTTACTGAGACGAGAAGTCTTCCAACCCAGATAACACTCGTCAAGCCCATGATTGTGCAGATGACATGTCACATCGTTGAGATGCAGGCTTAGACATAGCGCATCATGCGAGCTCACCGAGGTTGCCTTGCGCCTTCTTACTTGCCCGACCTCTTGCCCAGCTCAAATGCCATGGCCATGCCACCCCGATTCTCCAACTCCGACTTCCTCTCTTGCAATCTCTCCCATTCGGAGTCTGTTCTCTCCTCTTCCAAAGTCTCTCTCTTGTAGCGTGCTTGTGACTTCTCCGTTTCTAGCACTTCCTTCCTGTTCGCCATGATCTCAGGTACAGCTCGGCGCGCCTTCTCAGCTTCTTCGTTACGCTTAGTGATTGCAGCTTGGATGGTGGACATCTCAGCAATCACGATCGGATCTTGCATGTCGTTCTGTATTCCCTGAGCGCATGCTTGCGCAATGGCGGTATACTCCTGTTCCTCTTCGTCGGCAAGTCCGTCGAGAGCGAGAGATATGTCTTCTTCTTCTTCGGCGAGTGTTTCGATAGCCTGATAATGCTTAGCGGTCTCGGAAGAGTTAGTAGCAATGTCCTTGAGAATACTGATGTACTCATCGACGACGGAGACATCTCCAGGCATGGCAGAAGTAGCGATGAGGTCTTTGGTGGCGTTGGTCGTGAGGTTGTCTTGTGTAGCTACGACGATGTTAGAGTTTGTGTCGGAGTCGTAGTCAGAGTCAGAGTCAGAGCCAGAGCCTGAAGATCCGCTTTCGATGACGATGGGCTTGTGTCTACGGCGACGAAGAGCGAGGACGGTGGAGAGGGGTGTGGCAGTACTCTTTCCCTTTTTACGGCTTGGCAGGCGCAAATTGGCCGATGGCGTCGAAGGCGGACTCAGCATAACAGTGTCTGCATCTTGCTGTCCATCAGACTCCGGCTCGAACAATGGACTTTCTTCCCGATCTCCGGAATCGTCTTTCAATCCTGACTTCTTGTTACTGTCAGCCTCCCTCTTATCCAAGCTCGCTCTCTTGCGCTTCGCTGCCGTCTTGCTCGGAGTCGCAGGCGGTGGAAGACGTGTGTCCACCAGAGAGAACATTCCATACTTTCCGTTCGTTTCTGCGTTAGGTCGATCGGGATTCATGGCTGCGTAGTGCTGACGGAATCTGTTGGCCTTGGGATCGATTTTGGCTGGCGGGCTATTGTCTTCGGATGCCTGGCTTGATGAGTCGCTGCTATCCACCACGCGGGTCTTTTGGGCTCGCCTCGGCACAGCAGACATGACGGTGTCAAATGTTAGGGAGCGGATGCAGGGCGTGGGAGAAGGAAGTGTCACGGAAGGAATATAAGGTATTTATATAATTGAGTGGATGGGCCCAGCGCATCTGTGGTGACTGCGAGTCGAGGTGACCTCGAATTACTACTGTTTCTGCAGAGGCAAGATATCAATACAACCCCCAGAGGGCTGAATATATCGCGAAATGAATGGAGTCTGCGTCACCGCGAGAAGCGTTTGCTCCACCATCCTTGCCTTCCAAGGTTACGCCTACGCCACTACCCTCCTGAACGCTACCCACCCACCCACTGTCACAACCTCCGTTTTTCCGAAACATTTACGCCGGGCGTGGTGACCTGTAGAGGCCGGATCTGGCCTTTTGTCACATTTGAGTGCTGCCCGTTTGCGCTTCTTGCTTTTCGCTTCGTTTGCGTCCGGAACGGGTAGGTCCAGAGGATGTTGCGGTACTTCTCGAATAAGTTTACGTGGTCCAGCATCTAGGTCTAGACCTGGAGCTACAGGGCAACTAATCTGCTTGGAAGGTGTAGCTAGATTGGCCTTGGGTACGTTGGCATCTTTGGGTAGTAGTAGAGGAAGAAGAGTGCGAAGAGTTGTCGATTCGTGCGACGGTGCTGCGGTGACTGAAGCGGGCTTTTCCTCTTTCTTGCGACGCTTTGGAGCCTGCTTGACCGCTTTCCTTGTTTTCTTGATGGTGGCAGTAGAAGTAACACTAGGCGCGGCAACAGGCGGTGTGTTCACGTCTCTTATGGGTGTTTGCTCGAGTCGAGGTGCGACTGCCGTTGACAAGTTCAGAGTATGTGGTGGTTTTGCAGGTGAAGAAGCCCTACATGAACCACAATGCGCTGTCGTCTTCTGCGAGGGTTGGGCATAAGGCTCTCCAGTCACTTCAGGTCGGTTTTCAGTAGGGCACGCAACTGGCCTGACCGCGGAGTCAAGAGGCAGGCAATCTTGGGTGACTCGCGACGCCACTTGACATACTGGAGGGCTCGCCGTCTGCTGCGACGCAGCGGTCTTGCTTTGAGAGTGCAGGGAAGCGCTCTTTGAATCACATGTAGACTTCAACAGCCGCTGCGGCGGTGTGTTCGGGTTGAGGAGTTGATTCAGGTTCATGGCGACTGATATTCGAGCTGAATGTGCAATAGGCGAGCGGGTTGTTAAGAAGAATACCCAGCAAGGATGGAAGATAATTCGTACTAAGAATGTATGGGGCTGCATTCAAGCGCCTATAAACCGGAATTCGCATAACTAACCAGAGTTCTCGTTATTCTGAGAGCTCAACCATGGTTCGCACACGTGACCGCCCATCACACGCTCTTATTAGTCACTCTCCACATCGAGCGTCCTCCGCCTCTTGAACATGTTCCTCACCTCAGCCCTGCGTTCTTCGATCTCGTCTCTCTTCTTCTCCAACTCTGCGCGCTCTCGTTTCCATTTCTCCTGGAAAGCCTCGAAGCGCGCATCCATAACCTCCAATTCGTGATCAACATTGTTGAGGTCCTTCGTCAGAGCATTTTGCTGCATGACCAGCCTGGTGAGGGCGTCGAACTCTTCGTCTTCGGCTGAGCGCTTGGAGTTGCGCGGCGGGGCTGTGGGTGTTGCATCTGCTTCAGGGCTGGCAGATTTGGGAACCGAGGTTGTCGGCAGCGGCTTCTGCGTTGATGTTGCATGAGGGATTGTACGACGTGCGATTGAAGGGGCCGACTTACGCGCAACGCTCTGCGGGAAGCGAGGCGCTTTAGGCGTGGGTTCATTGGCCAGCGTCGACTGGGTGTTCTGCTTCTCTGGGGTGTAGGAGCTTTCGCTACTCTCATCTGCTATACTGTCATCCATTGGTACGGTACCCGATGATTTGAAGGCGCTAGGGCCCATCTGATCAGAGATGTACTCCAGTGCGCAGCGGAGACGCTCGGGGTAGGCCTTGGTTTCGTGTAAAACGCAGTCCGTAGCAATTCCAGCTGCGATGAAATACCACTTGACCATGAGCGTCAACCTGGCTTTGTCAGGTGGGTCGCTTGGACCGGTACTTCTGGGGTAAGTTTTGCTGAAAGGGTGCAAGATGCGCTGCTTCCCTGTAGCTTCGGCGGACATTGACGCGTAGGTACCACGAGCGCTTTCCAGGTAAAATCGGATCTCATGGAAACCCCGCTGCGCTATTCGTACCATGTAGGCATAGATTCTGTGCTCTGTCTTCGCATGGGTTCCGACGAATAATTTCTTCGGTTGGGCTTCTAGGATGTACGTCTGATCCAAGAATTCCATGTCATGAGCATCGGGAATATTCTCCAAGAGTCGCAACGCGCCGCGCTCAGCAAGGTATGACCATAGCAGTTGCAAATCCGGATTTCCGTCCCAGCTCATACCATGTGGGGTATCGTATGTGACGTTGCTCTCAGGTGCGTTTACCAAGCCATTTCGGTTGGCAGGCAGCAATCCATTCGGGCTTTCCATGTCTTCCGGCTCTGAGCTTTCCTCCACGGTCTCGCCTGTTTCTCGGGGGTGCTTATAGGTCCCATGGCTTCCATCGGTATTCCCGTAGACCTTTCTCAGCACAGACGATAACCGCCGACTAAAGTCATCGTTCCACGCATCGATTTTGCTTATATGACCTTGCAAAAGGAAGTAGTAACGTATAATCATGCTAAGCATTCGCTTCTTGGTCTTCGTTCCATCTGTGAAGTATTTGAACGGAACGATGAGAGGCTTCGTCATGGCTTCATCTCCGGTGATTGATGGCAGCGTCGAGGTCGCGCGGTCATCGCCAATGGATCTGAGGCAGTAGCGAACCTCCCAACCACCGCCGGATGGCAGCAGATAAGTCAGCACGTTGCGGTTGCCTACGTTTCCGATCAACAGACTTGGGGATTCCGCCTCATCCAGTGCATTTTCAATCCAGGTCAGGGAATCCGCTGGTGGCAGTGCATCCATGCAGGAGTCGGCGCCGGCCTTGGCCATTAGCTTTCGAATTGTCTGGAGGGACATTTTCCGGTTTTTGTGGAAGGTGATAAGTCGCCGAGGATAGCCGTCTGTGTCGCGTTCCAGCGCATCCGATGTCTGGTCAATTGTTTGTCAAGGATCACGGGCCTTGTCGCCAGCAAGTCGCGTGATGATGTTGGCGCGTCTGAGCTACAACGCGTCGCCGGAGGCTCGACCCCCTGCACTCAAGACATATGACAAAGCATGCGGAGAAGTCTGGTGCATACTACTCTGGACTACAGCAAGATATATCGCAATGGACGGGGTATTGATGATAAGGCTAAGAAGATGCAGGTCGCAGGAGCGTTGCTTGTTCCGGGAAGGATCAGGCGGTCCACTGCCGTTAGCGTGAACACGTGCACGTGCACTGGAGTACTCGCGTGCGACACCTTCTATGGCATTCTCAAATGAGGTCTCATTTAGTGATTGTGTGTTCAAACTGCCAGCGTATGAAACTCAAAGAATATGTCTGACATTATTATCAGCTTCTAGTTGTTAAACCCTTATATATATCATATAAATGTGAAATATATCATCGAACAACACACATGGCTGAGAGTGAGCCGTCTCTGGCGACACTACCACTGATTCAAAAAGCTCTCTATCGGCTCGTCAGTTCGATGACCCTTAGATGCAGTCTTATGGGGACACTTCCACTAGGCTTCATTTTTTTGCTCTTTTTGATTCCACGAGGTGCACTTTCACTTTCACTTTTGATTCCGAATGCGGCAATGATGTCACACTGCAAACGCAACGCACAGTGGCCTCGAATTGAACTTTGCTAGCCCTACCTTTTTGACCTTTAACCTCAGATTCTTACATCCCTTTACCACCTACATATCCTCCACAATGGCTCAAAACATAGAGTCACAACCCCCCGGCGCCTACATGTACGACGAGATCGACGCGCTCGCGCAGAAACACTTCCCCGACGTCTACAACGCGCTCCTCGACGTCGACGACGTTCCCTGGGAGCGGCCTGACTACGACAGAGTCGGCTTCTCTTCACACTCGCTCTTCCTGGGCAACATTGTCCTCGACAACATCACGTACAAAGCCTCGGCATATATGACAAGCCAAGGAAACATCCAGTTCTTCCGCCGCAACATCAGCCTTTCGCGACGCGACAACGAAGGCCTTTCCCTGGTCAGCCTTTGGGCATTTCTGGACGAGAATTCTGAGCGCCCAAGCATGGATAATCTGAAGGCATTGTGTGGTTTCTACTTCGTTGCTGCCGGATATGCCGAGGTGGTGAATGCGAAGAAGGGTTGGTTCCGGGATTTGAAGATGGCTTGCACCAAGGTCGGTCTCGGTCTTGGAGGATTGGTCGATGAGCCTGCGGTTTCTGGGCTAGATGGAGAGGTGGAGAAGAATGTTGAGAGGGTCCTGAGTTCGCACGATGGCGACGTCGAAGACAACGGGGATTCTGGAGACGAGACGGACGTCACGGTGGGGCCAGTGGGGCCAGAGATGAAGGGCCTGGGTGCTGGAGTCGACGAAGTCAAGGTTGCACACATCCTGCAACGGCTGTTGATAGTAGTCAAGACCAGGCAGGAGAGCTGGGGCGAGCGGATTGAGGCGGAACTGAAGTGGGCTTGGCCAAACTACAAGAAGTACTGGAGATAGGAACAAAGCCGGGCTGGGATTTGAAAGATAAATATACCGCTAGAACGCTAGAAACGACGAGGCTATGGAGCTACTGCTGCTGCTCCTTGCATCTTTGCTGCTTGGTCCATTTACTGAACTTGTCCTTCTTCCACCCGCTTTTCCAGGTGAGTGTGACCCTTTCTCCATCGATGTTTAACTTTTGTGGCTCCTTGTGTGTTCCAAAGCGTATACTGCTGCTAAGGTGACACTTAGTCGGCGGGTTTTCATTCCAATTCCTCTGATTAACCGAGGAGTACGACCACTGAACGCAGTATTTGCTGTTGTCGCAGGACTCTTGGCATGCCTCTGGCGACGCTTCTCCGTTCCCAGCGCGATCCGCGTCCTGATGCTCGCCGCCTTGGAAAAGGATGTTCCACCGGTTGTTCGAGGACTCGGAGGATAAGTTGTCCCAATCATTGCGTGTGTAATTCAAGTCTTCCGGGGTCATGAAGCGGTACCACAGATCTGCAAAGCGCAGGGTGGGCTGATCCGAGGGTCGGTCCTTCTCCAATCTGAGCAGATCACTGCCGATGTCCGGTGTGATGTGGTGCATCAGGAGGATAGGCTCGCACCATATGGCAGGCGAGAAAGGCACAGTGCTTGGGTCGAAGCCGGAGATGCTAGGCCAGACTGTGGTAAAGGTGATCTTCACCTCGGCCTGCAGCGCGCTGGCGACGAGATCAAACGCTGTCGTGTGGTCCGCGATCTGCTCCCGCCAGTTCTGGATAAAGTCTTTGCGCTTCTTGAACAGCTCCAGCATCACTCCTCGCGAGAGGATGAACGACGTGCCTCCGGCGGCGAAGGGATCGGGGACGCGCGCCGTCGCTGGGGCAGGTGGGTTGCCAAAGAAGTGCTTCGCGTCTGGGTCGTGTTGACTCAGCCAATCGAGTAGGTTCGGCCTGTTGACGTACGTCTCATCGCCAGCGAAGACATACCAGCTGCGGTCGGGCCTGTACTCCCACGCAGACGCCATTGTCTCCAGTATCTTGTACTTGTCCAGGATCTCCATCTCCCTCTTTTCTTCTTCCGGGTCCTCCTTCTTCAACTTGGCCAGTGGTATGCTCCTCCGCGCATAGTCGACCTGAGCGCGGTATCGCTCCAGCTGCTTCGTCTTCTGTATGAAGTCGGATTTGTAACGCCAGATGACGTCGAAGACGGGCCATCTTCCGATCTGGGTTTGTAGGTCCGAAAACAGCAGGAGAGTGCCGTGGTCTTGTTCGTTGGTGTTGAGGATGAGAGGCGTGACTTTGTTGTAGACGTCGTTTGCGGTCGTGGTGACGGCGACGACGAGCTGGTCATGGTCGACTTGGTGCGGGCCGAGGTTGGACTCTTGCTGGGGGCGCTTGCTCGGCGGGAGCTCTTCGTCGTCGTAGGTGCGCGGCCAGCCCTTGACCCAGAAGAAGGCATATATGAGGATGACGCTGAAGACGAGGCGGGCCGGGCGCGGCATGTGCTTCCGGTAAGACGACATGGTCGCTAGCGTTTGCTGTGTGGCATCTGTTGGATTAGTAGCTAAAGGAGAGTACAGAGATCAAGATCGAAGATGCCCAAAACGTGTTTCACCCCATCGCAATGGCCCGATCGATGTTTGAGAAAAAGCGCGTTGCGAACGTCCGCCCGCATTCAGGGGAGCCTAGGCCCGACCGAGACGCGTGGAACAGGCCTGGTGTGGCGCGGCCTCGTATTGCTGAGGGACACGCGTCGCGGGGGCATCAGTGTCGCATGGCTTTCAAATCAGCACTTACAGCATCGACAAAGACACCCGCATTCCAAGACGCGAACTACATAGTACAACGGCGAGAGACGCCGCATGAGGCGTTCCTGCCCTCTTGGCGATGCATCGGAGGAACAGCTGGCAATCTCCGACGATCAACAGATCGGCACCACGACTCCCTGCATCTTCGAGCTCTCTCTTCCTCGTCACATTGCATCAGCTCCAGTACTCAGTATAGCTTCTGCAGCCCGAACTGGCGATGATTCCGCGGTCACGATGCGTGTACGGTACGCTCACAGCAGCTGGCCCGTATATCCGATAACACCGAAGCGAGCACCTTCCCCTCACCTGGACCTGTTCGGTGGTCTCTACAAAGTAAATGATGGAAGATCTTGTGGAGTCTTGAAGGATATAAAGACCCAAGCAGTGATGAATTTGAGATGCGATGCAACAGGTGGTGATCATATGGAAGGAACGGACGCTGACCTTACAGTCACCCACCTCGGGAAACCAGGCCATCAGACGAACCTGCACGTCCGCCTGCGTCAACACGGTTTATTGGAAAAGGCGATTGCCAACGTATTCAGAAACCCACTCAATGGTGGCGTTGACCGGTTGCTGTTTTCCGCGGCAGGCACACAGTATATGCTTGCTGTGGAAGTGTCAGTGTTTACTCGACGATCCACTCCCATGTAGCAAACCGCGAGCCAATCTTCAAGGTGGTTATAAGCCCTCCAACCAGACATTTCCAGGCATTTCTCTCGTGGGCCACACAGCTATACTAAAAGGGGGTTGAGTATTGGGTTATTCATTGACCTCCCTGCGATTTCACTACCTTGAACTATTGGCGGCCTTCGATCCAATATGGTGTGACACAGCGATTAGTTGCGCGTATTGCCCAATTGCAGATTGGAACATCGCGCCACGCAATCAAGCATAGTTGTTATAGTCACGCTCTCCTTTATATAACAACCTCTCGAAACAATTCAACTAGATCTTCAACCCGGGCCATCTGTCAGTTTCTCGAGTCTACTCAAGATGTCAGACCAGAACCCGGAATCGACAAATTGCCAAGAGGAGCGTCCAGAATGGCAGGAGGAAGGGTTCAGTTCCCATCAAGAATGGCAAGACTGGCGAAACGAATATCTGGCAACCGATAATGCCTACGATACCCAGGCGGAGGACCCATCCCCTGATGACAGCGATGAGGATGAGGGCTTCGACGAGGAGTTCGTTAGCGAGCAAGACTCAGACGACGAGGACGACGAGGACGACGAGGACGACGAGGAATCGGAAAGCGGTGAGCCTGGAAAACACGTCGAGCCCGAAGACGACAGCAGTCCCGATCATTCCGAGGCTGCAGACAACGGCGAGCCTGGAGTAAACGACACTTCAAATGTCGACGAAACTGAGCTCACTTCTATATACGGCTTCGGTAAGTAATCGAATAACCTCTGCAAGACGCGATCTAACGCAGTAGGTAGCGCACGACAAGAACAAAGACTATGCCCTCGTTGAGCAGTCGGCTCGTGGAGCCCTCAACGCTATCACCATAGCCCTGCAAGACATCATTAACAAGAGCCAAGCGCGACAAGGTGATCCACAGAGTCTTGCGAAAGAGATCGAGAGCGCCTTTGCCACGGCTTTACCTACGTATTTAAGCGCTCAGGCACTGCTCCAAGGTGGACAACAAGTCAGTCTTTCTCGAATGAGCACCAGAGTGCCCAGCTGACTCGTTTCACAGGCTGTTGGGCGGCCAACTCCCCTCAGTGCCCTTCCTCCGCAGAGTAATCAACCCTTGATCGGCACCTCTACCGCTGTGTCTGTCCCACCCTCTCCGCCTCCGCCTCCGCCGCCAACGGCCAATGGTCTCGGAGCCTTCACCACTGCAAGAGATGTACGTTGCATCTCTCCAGCTAGCATTTGCGCAATGCTAACATTGTATAGGATAGCAGCACTTCCCAAGGAGAAGGTGCTGACAGCGACGATGAAGAGGATGTTCAAGACGTTATAACGCCGCCACGCCGAATCAAGTGATCCAGGTACCGGTATCTAGATGGGGTTATTCATATAAGAATTATGGCGATGGAAACGCATAGCGATGAGAACAGAGTTTGCATATAGGCTTAATTTGGACAATCACTTTCACCGGGAAAGGAATTGTTGAAACTTTCCACTCAGGCTTTGTATACTTGATTGACTCTCTCACAATCTCAGCGTTCTGCAACCTTTGCAACCTCAACGCCGCCAGAACCTCTTCAACATCACCATGTCTCGTGCCACAGCGGCTGCTGATGCTGACATCAATGTCACAGGTCTAGGTCAAGGCCCCGTGGCACTTCCAATCCGAGCGCCGCCGCTCGCCATTTCGTCTTCCGTTTCGCCTGCTCAGGCACATCCCATCAAACACTACGGCAGGGATGCGAAAACCTTCAAAGCCGCCGACCTCCGCTTCGATGACGGCTCGTTCAACAAGCCTGGCACAAAGGCCTACTACAAGAGCTTTGGGTTCCGCGAGAAGACAACAAGCACCAGCGATCAGAAGATGACCGGAGAGAGGAACGAGAAGCAGTCACTCGTCATGATCTTCAGCAGAAATGCTGTCAGGCGATCTGCCCTGACGGGGTCTGTCGCAAACAGAGCTCGGAAGCTGAGTAAGAGGCAGTAAGTGTGCTATTTTGATCCAACTGAGTGAGTCTAATGTCTCCATAGGAAGTTCATGCGCAAGGTCAACAACGACGAAAAGTTCTTCAAGTGGGATTGAGTACCTGCAAAAGAAGCGGAGTAGGGAAAGAGACACTGGGTCCGACTTCCGCTCTGGGAACGAGGCCTAACGTCACGAAAGACCTGAGAAGTGGCTATCGGGCGGCGAGTGTCGATGTCTGTTCTTGCCCTATTCTGCGACGATGGTCGAACACAAGAACCGTCACTGCTCTCATGCTCATATCCTACTACTGTGCGTTTGTTTTGCAGTCACGTTCATCAAGAGTCGCACGCGATCCCACAGTAGTATCACTCACTTTCTATACCCTATAAAGTCTTGTTGCCTAGCTGTGTGTCATAACCTCCGCCTACTAACACCCTTCTCTTTCTCTTCCACTCCTAAGTTTGCTCTACTATACTACATCCCTAATGCCTGCTAAAGCATTCAGCGTCCCACATGATTCAGGTGGTCGCCGTACTCCACCAAATCCCCCACCGACCAGGAAAACCGGCCTCTCTATGAGTGACTTCCAGTATCAAGGTCCTCTAGAAGACGACCCTGTTACCACCATAGCCCGTGGTCTCCGCGAGAAACGACTGCGATTCACCAAAAAGATACCGAACGATCACGACAGCAATATCTGCTCACCAAGAGACCGTCGCAGTGCCCTTTCCGTATTCGACGAAGCCATCGAAAAGATCTGCGAAGACAACCGCCTGGAAGTAACTACCGAGGCCGACTACAAGATCAGGGTGATCTTGGGGATTACTAAAGCGCAACCTTCTGCATCCGTGTTTCAGAACAAGCAACAACTCGCGCCTATAGACCCGCAGTATGCAGAGCCACGCATCGAATGGCACGACGATGCATACAACTATCACTCAACCTGGAGGTTGCAGCATTGGCGCAAAGACGGCTGGCCTGACTCGTTTCCTGAGAGGGCCATTCAGAAAGAACGAACTATGCAAGGGGAGCCCAGATCTTGGAAAGATCAAGATTGGGCGGAGCCTGGAGGACTAAGTTGAGAGTCGGTGATCGTGGTGAGAATGATCATGGTTGAGAGTTCAAGCAGCATAGGTAGTCATCCAGGACCTCCACTTGATGAGGAAATTTCTGGGTAATCAGGCCTCATGTAGTGAAATACATGAAAGTCTAGAATCATATTGAGTTGCACTCGCAGAATCCAAAATATCACGATTTCGATGATGCCTTCAACGTCTAGTAAGCTTTCATGTGACTGAGCTGATACTGGGCAGCTATCGTATCTTCTTAAGCTGTTTCACACCCATCGGTGCCCTATGGGTTGGCACTGTGTAATTACAGAGTAGGTACGCATGTGAATGCATTCCTGTACCATTTGTCCTAAAAAGCCCAGAGTCCATATTCTAGACTCTGTTCTCAGTAAGAATACACAACTACAAACCAAACATGCCACGTCTAAAAGAAGGTACTTCGCTATGGCGAGCTATAAAGGAAAGGGCAAATAATCAGGCTTTACCAGAACGACAGGATGCCAATTCTTCAGATACATCCACGACTCATATTTCACAACGTGTAACGAGATCTGGGAGCGGCCACGGTGGAACTTCCCCATGGGTTCGCCGTACTACGCGCAATAAGAATCAGGTTTCTCGGGATCAAGTTCTAACCGAAGAGGAACAGCTGGAGGCTGCTTTGGCTGAATCTCTGGTACAAGACTCCGCAACGCCCGCCCAGGAACGCCCAGTAAAGCAGACACGAAAGAGACCCTCAAAGTCCAGGGGTCTCCTGGCTTCGCGGAAAACGCAGGAAGCATTACCTCGACTCCCTGGACAACACAATGCTCTGAAGCTGCCAAAGTTAAGAATCACAAACGATAGGATATTGGTTGTAAGGGAAGTAGACAGCATAGCGCAATCGCTGGATACTGACGAACCATTGGATACTTTCGATCTTGAGCAAGCTAAGGACCTCGAACGTCAACGGCAACTCCTATATTTAGCCGAGGTCGAGCGACAGGAAGGCTACATACCCCCTGTTCAAGGTGAGCATGAAAGCGCTATGCGCAGCACGCTTGTTCACGATGTGGATAACGATGACTTCACTGCTGCATTCATCCTAAGGGAGATGGCAAACAGTGACATCACCGCTGATCCTGCGAGTATGGATTTTGTCCAGCAACTCATGAATCCGGCCGCTCCTGGAACGAATTTGGAGTCGACTAACTCGGCTAAGGAAGAAACCCCGCGCGAGGTTATACCCCTTCGTCGTTCGACACGAAAGAAGACTACCTCTGCTCCCAGAGCTGGAGACTCGTCCTCAAAGGCTATCGAAACTGTGCAATCAGCACCTGAGCCCTTGAAACTGGATGAGGGCGAAGGTTTCATGCCATCCGCGGAAGATGACTTCAAATTCAAGTACGACAGCGCTTCTGGACGTCGAGCGGAGGAGCTTGATGCACTGCTGAACCCTCCGGGCCGTCCTAAGGCCTTTCCAGCTGATCTTGCTGGTGAGAAGACTTTCCTCTCTAAGAGCTACAAGGCAACTGGTACTAGGCCGAAGAAGAATGCTGCAGACGATAGGGTCAAAGAAATGGAACTCGAACATGCGCGAGCGCAGCAGGACGTAGATATGGCTATGGAGCAAGAGGATATGTGGAGCGAGTTTTGGGGTGTTGATGAATGGAAGGAGTAGACCTTTCTCGAAGACGAGAAGATGCCAAAATCCTGCTAGGGAAATCTTTTGTGCACATACCTTCTTGAACCTAATACGCAGTGACTCAATTCACGCATTGCGAATCAGGCGGCCGTCCACTACAGATATTCTAGAATCAATTGCTCATTCACGTCGATTTTAGAGATCTGCCTAACTGTGGCGGGAATATAGCCCGTCGTAAGCCGAGACAGACTTTGTGATACAGTGGCTTGAACAGCCGTATTATCTCCACTACTTTGACTCGGCTAGCCCTCAATGAACCATAGAACTCTTCCATTCAACCTATAAAGCTGGCAATATGTCGGATAATCCACGAAATACTCCCACTATCACGACCTCAGATCGCGGTCAACAAGACACCGCTGCTACTACCAGGCCTTATCAAAGTTTGAGTCGCATGGGATGGTTTGATCACCGCATTGATAGGCCTGATCGAACAGGCGAACGTCACACCGAGCAAGAGCAAGAGGTAGCGAGGACCATGCTAACATTGAGACGACTGGTTTTGTTCTCCACAAAGGCTCATACAACAGACATCCCCCTCAACATGAGCAGGCCTGTTATAATCCATGACAGCGACGGTCAGCGGACGATCACTGCAGGACCGACCCCGGATACGACATCAGCGCCCCACGCTATACCATCTGCGAGTATGGCTATGAAGTCAGTGCCAGGCAGCGATGTCACTACGACGAATGTTCCCGCCAGTGAGGATGTAACCACTCCAGTGGTGCGGAAGATTACACTGGAGGAGTACATTAGGTTGAGAAAAGCGAGGAAAGATGGGGAAGTACATGAGAATGCTTGACCTCGGACAGTGAGGTAAGTCCGGGTATGGTATAGGACTACGTAGTGTACTTATCATCTACACAGCTTGAGTATCCTGATCCTGAGGCCGACATGTAGTCGCCAACGTCATCCACCAGCGTACTATGCACCACCCTTGGCCAGAGCGGCTGCCTTACGCTCGCGCTTCTCACGACGGATGCGGGCCGTGCGACGAGTCTTCGTCTCCCCGGCGATTATCCTGCTTCCCCGAGGTGTTGCGGAAAGAGGCGCGGAGGGTGCAGGGGAGTTGGCGACGTAGTCGCTCGCCCACTTCGACAGCATCGGACCTGGCATGGTCGGAGGCAAGCCCTTGACGAGGATAGGGCTGCCGTCCGCCAATGCCCTGACCCTCTTGTCCATGAACCCGTTCAGGCGGTCGTACAGACGGGATGCTGCGACCCCGGCCCACCACCACCCAACTGTGTTCACCGACAGCTCGTGCTGCAGGTCCCACATGTCCTGGTTTAGACCGCGGAACAGCAGGTCGAAGTCGCTTTGGTCCTGCTCGGTGGACTCGCCTGGAACTTGATGTCAGTGTGCGGACAAGACAAACGTCGAATACTCAGGAAATGCGCACCGTACAACACCGCGAAGGTGGCCTCGATCTCGTTCTGGGCCAGAAACGACTGCCCTCCGCTGAGGCGGAACTGCTCGTGAAGTTGGGATGCTAGATCCATCATGATGATATTGGATCGGCGAGACGAGTATCTGGAGGAGAGTATCGGATCAGTATGTGAGCCACAAAAATTTCAAGAAATTTTGAGGCAGGCGTGAGGTTGTTGTGGAGGTTGCTTGACGACGCGCAAGTCGCAAAGGCAGAGTTCTCTCTCTTCACCTGGGCACGTCCCCATGGTAACCGCCAGTTTCGTTTGCATTCTGTACTGCTCGGTCTGAGCTCGTCGCTACATCTTTCCATTACATGTTCTTCTATCAGTGTCATGCACAATACAATGTCATGCTGCTAGCCGATTACGACATTCGGACTTGCTACGCATTGGACTTTGATGAGCTTATTGTTCACTATACATGCGGCTTTGACAAGTCTTGCAGGCAGCAAACATGTTGACCTCACCCTCATACATAACCTTGTTTCTCTTTAGACTGAATATCCCCATAACCTTCTTGAAGAGGTGCAAGATCTACGCAAGTTTGTTCAGATGGCGACCTTCACCCAGCCTACTCCACCGATTGACTTTAGACGAGACATAGAAGCTTTCAATCTTTACCACAAAAATTGCACTACCAAACCGATCAAAGAGACCGTTGCGCACCTCCTCTACGCTCTGGAGAATACAGAACCCATTGTAGACCGCACCGATGCTGTTTACACAACATTCCGTGATGCGATGGTGGGCTGGAAGACAAGGATCGATAAGAAGCACGACGCCGACGCGAATCGATGGTACTTTCACAGGATGAGGAGAGAGTTCAGGACAGTAGAACACGTGCTGTACGGTACTACCAGCGACTCGGATAGTGACGGTGAAGGCGATACGAACGACGAGAATTCCGAAGATGAGGACCAAGACGATGAGAGCCCTGAAGATGCCGGATCTGAAGTGGACTCAGAGAAAGACGATTCTGATGTAGCCCAGTCCGAAAGTTCGACTGATACCCACGCAGATATTTCGACGCGCATCGACGAAGCGAGGGACAACATTGTATCTGAGAAAACCCCGGACATGCCTTCACCCAAGACCAAAACGAAGCCGTCTGCGCGAACTACGCGTTTCAGCCAACGGCTCAAAGATCTCGACGCTCTCAGAGCACAAGAAGAAGAGAACATGCATCACAGCCCAAGGCGAGAGAAAGGCAGAGAGTTCAAAGGGGGACCTGTCGACCCAGAGAAAGCACATCTAGACATCGGTGAAAGAGAGCTAGCTGATCATGACGAAGATGTTGTACTCGCCGAGCTGGAGAGTAATGTACGAGTCGGGATCGAGGAGAATACGGAAGAAGATGAGATCGACGTGTGAAATAGTAGGGTGAAGAGGATGGTGAGGGTCATGCCATGTCCGGAAAAAATGACATGAGCAAACAAAGGTCAAAGAAAAAGGTGAAAATAAGGGACGATGAAGTTCAAGGTTGAGATGGCGGGTGGCGTGTGCTTGATGAGCTTAGTGTGGCGCGGCGAATCGAAATTCCGTGGCGTCAAGACCTGAGTTCCGCCACCAACCTTGGAATGCTTGTCGCAACCATAGCGCTACCTACATCAGTTTTTATCATGCTGGTTCATTACGATTAAATTGACGCGCATTTTCTGAAAAGCGTGATAAAAAAAAAGTAATGGACATCAACATTAAGCAATCGGCATAATCGTGGACGCGAAACTTGTTTAGATTCACCGGAGCAACAATAGCTTCGGGTGCGTACTCTATGTAGCGAAGAGTGATGGAGATTGACAAACTATTGACAAGACGCGGCCTAAGCAGTGCGCTCGATGGTAGTAGTCTCCATCTTGCCGTGCTCGGTAACCGTTCCGTCGTCGTGGCCGTGGTTGACGGTCTTCTCGACAGCCCTGACTGCCTCGTCGGCAAACTCCTTGTCTTCGAACACTGAGAAGATGTTAGTGATAGATCGATAAAACTCGTCTTTGTTATATACTTACAGAAAGCGAGCTCCTCGAGCGTGCGGTTGTACGTCTCAGGGTACATGAGGTAGACGAAGCAGAACTCGAATGTAATCCATCCGCAGTAAATGGCAAAGTACTTCCACTGAATCGCGTCGAGAGCGATAGGGTTGACGTAGACGGAGAAGAAACCGGCGAGCTTGCCGAACATTTGCTCGACACCAATACCCATGGTACGCTGGGCGTAGGGGAAGAGTTCGACGAGGTAGGTGTATGTGAGCGAGTTGTTACCGATGTTGTAGCAGGGCGAGTATGCGAAGAAGAAGACGAGCGAGGCGATTTGCGCAGCCTGGTTCTTGGTGCCGTTGGCATCCGCGACTTGGAGACGCTGGAAAGCGATGGTCATGGCCATGAAGACCATGGTCATGGATCCAGCGGAAAGCATGAACATCCAGCGACGGCGGAATCGAGTGACGACGAGAGCGATAGTGACACCGTTGATCAAACTCCAGCATTGGTTGGCGATGTTGATGCGCGTCTTGGCGTACTTGGTGGTGTATCCCATCATCTTGAATAGAAGATTTTGGTAGTACGAGATCAAAGTGTTTCCGCTCATCTGGGTGAAGAGACCGAGGAAGCAAGAGATGAAGACACGGCGTCGCATACCAGGTGTACGAACCATGTCCATCCACGAGCGGCTTGAGTTCTCCATCTCGAGTTTGATTGTGGATCGGATCTGGGCCATCTCGGCTTGTACGAGGATGGAGTTGGCGTCGCCTTCAGCATGGTATTTTGTCAAAACGGCGAAAGCTTCATCGTCGCGATCACGGCTGACAAGCCATCGTGGGCTCTCAGGTAGCAGGCTAGTAAAGTCAGTGTGGAACTCTAAACTCGTTCGGAGGAACGTACAAAACAGTGCAAATCTGGAGGATGGACGGGCAGATCTGCAGCAGAGATGGTGCTCGCCAGCCCCAGTTTCCTACCATCTCCGTTGTCTTGATTGAGATGGCAGCGGCAAGGATGGATCCGATGAAGTAAGATGCGTTGAAGAGCGAGGTCATGAATGGGCGTTCCTTGGGGTAAGCCAACTCTCCGATCAGGGAAGAACCGGAGACGATGGCGAAGAGGATACCGAAACCAAGCAGCATACGTGCGATGATGTACATCCCAACTGATAATGCGTTAGATACGCCGCCGCTGTGTATGTGGATGGGTTGTGTACGTACTGTGCTGAGCAAAACCTTGCAACAAAGCGCCGATGACCATAATGACGGAACCAACGAAGATAGACATGCGTCTACCGTACTTTTGGCTCAACCAGGGTGCGACCGGAACTGCAAGAATGGAACCGAGCTGGTAGCATGAGGACATGAAACCGATGATTTTGGGTTCGATGCTGGCTTCGCCATCTGAGTCCTTGTAGCCTTCTCCGAAATCTGAGACTGTCAGCTTGTGGATCTAAAGCTACAACAGTTTTGACTTACATGTGTTGAATGGAACAGAAAACTGAAGTGTGCCGATGAGCTGAGAGTCGAAACCAGAGGTAATCTCAACACCCATGCAGCAGCAGAAGAGCCAGATG